TCTTTATCATCGTGATAGTGGATGAATGCACTTAATGTCTCCAGATGATATTGCCATGGTAGAGTGTCTACATCACTTACTCACTATCTAATTCAGAAGCCATGTGCGAGAAGAAGTGCTATGGAGTAAGTTTCCTCCTGCTCCATTTTATACTTAAAATTACCGTCCACTTTCTGCTCATTCTTAAAAGGAAAAGTTTTATTCATAATTTTAATATTCATATGCATATCACCAAATATTTAATTACATGCAATACACGTGTTAATCTGGTTGTATATTGGCCACTATCCTTAAGGTTTCCATTCTATTTTAACCCTTACATTTGCTCCTTTTTAAGTGTCAGATAAAATGCAGCAACTCTCTGGTTTTAGATTTCTATCATAGTGCTCCATGAGAGAATTGATCATCATAACTAGGGTGAACAGATGTCCCATTTTTAAAGGGACCATCCCGTATTTAGGCCCTCCTGCACGTCTCGACTTTTTTTTAAAAATGGGCAAACTGACCCGTATTTTCTGTCTTCCCCGCCATGCCCCAGTACTGGCGGGTCCTGCTTCTAGCCGGATCCCTGCTTGCCAGCTGCCTGCCCACCAGCGGCGGGAGGAGGAGGGGTACAGTGGCTGCCAATGGGGGTGGGTGTGCAAGACTGGTGGTGGGGCGAAGATGCAGCGCATGGGGCCAGCCACTCCCCCTGCTGGTCTGTCAGTGCAGCCCACGTTGCATGCCTGCTCTTGGCCAGCAGGGCCCCAACCCTGTCCCATTTCCAGCTGGTACTGGCTGCGCACGGTGAGCTGTGGTGGCTGGTGAGTGTGGGCAGGCGCCAGGTAGTGGCCAGTTACATGTCGCCTGTGCTGCCCACCCATTGGCCTTTTATGTGTTCCCCCTCTCTGTCCTCTCCCTGCTTCGCCCCTGCAGCCCCGCTGCTCCTCCATATCCCTCCCCGGTGGGGCGTGTCCCACTCCCAGCTCTGTGCGGAGAACCAGCCCCTGGGCTGCACGCTCAGCTCACCAGCAGCCTGGCCGGCAGGCTCCTTCCTTTCCCTACTGCCTCTGGCTGGGCCAGCATCCTGGGAAAGCCCAGGGCACTGGCCAGGAGGAGCCGAGTCCTGCAGGTGCCAAAGCATCACAAAGTGCTGGCACAGGGAAGCCTCCCCACCCCACAGCTAAGCTCTGGAGTAGTGGGGGCAGGGAAGCGATTTCCAGCCTGTTCATGCCCCGAATCTTCAGTTCCACAGCAGCCCTAGGGCAGGGGCTTAGCACCCTCTTCACCTGCCTCCATGGGCCCTGTCTCAGGGAGTGTGGGGCTGCTCCGTCCCCTAGGCACCCTCCCCTGCCGAGCCACCTCTCTGGCTGGGTTCGCTGAAGCCCCTGCTGTCAGGTTCCCTGGGCCCTGGAGCACAATGAATATCCAACTACGCAGGATTTCTTTTTAACGGGTTAGTCAACTTGATGTTAATTTGAATGTTTGTACTGCATAGTTCTGATTGTTTGCCATTGAGCTCGCTTGAATATGAGTAATTTTACCAGGTGTCCCGTATTCAGCATAGGGAAATATGGTCACCCTAATCATATCATCTTATGAAATGCCCATGGACCAAATATTTACTTGTCTGGATTTGTTCCACACTCCTTTCATCCAGTTTTCCCGATGGTCTGTTACACAGTTGCTTGCGGCATCAGTTGCACTGGATTCAGTTTTAATGTTTGGTGATCATCATCTAGGATGCCAATGACTTGGTCACCGCTCAGTATAATTTAGGATTTTATTGTTAAAGTGAATTAGAAGCGTCTCTTCTCAGAGTTTGGATACAAAGTCTTTTGTCTATCAGTTAACCTTTGTGGAATACAAGCCTCGATGTCGTAAAAGTGTTTTAGGCTCTCTCCATACTGCAAAATTAACCGAATTTATGCAACATGTTCTTTTCACACATTTTTTGTTGACATCCTATTTACTTGAGAATATATTTGGATTGGTTTTAGGGCCGGTAGCTCTAGTGTCTATGCACGCTTTATATTGCCCTAAAATTTCTAATAAGTAATTTTTTTCTTCATACATTATCCATCGACTATATGCTTTCCTCATTTACAGTTTGGCTTTTTCCTTGTATTTTATCCATCTTCTAAATTTCTGTTATGCGGTCAATTCATCTGAACTGAAAACTTTGGGTTTAATCTTCATCACCAATTGCTTTGTAAGTGGAAGTATTGGACAAATAAACGTTTAGAGAGATAAATATTCATTTCAGTATTTAAAATCCTAAGCGCATATATATAGCTACTGAGGGAAACCTGTTGTTTATTTTTTAAAAACAACAGCTTCAGGAGGTGATTCATAGTAATTATTTTGCCTTTTATATTTGCTGATTTGTTAGAAGCCTGTAAATATTTTGACTCCAGAGAAATTAGATGATTAAACTTAATTGGAAAATGATGTGGTGTGGGTGAATGTTTATTGCTGAGCTGAGCCCTTCGGCATTAATTGGAGCTGAAGCTTTAGATGTAGTAACTCAAATGAGCTTCAGTTAGCTATTACTTGTTTTTACTCTCTAAGGCCATGTCTATATGTACAGCGCTGCAGCGAGGCAGCTGTACCAATACAGCGATGCCACTGCAGCGCATCTGGTGAAGACATTCTGTGCCGACGAGGGAGAGCTCTCCCATTAGCATAAAAACCCCACTTCCATGAATGGCAGAAGCTATGTTGGCAGGAGAAGCTCTCCTGCCGACGTAGCAGTGTGTATATGAGCGTCAATGCCAGCGTTTATTTACACCCTGAGCAATATAAATTATGCCAACATAAGCTGTAGTGTAGACATCGTCTAAGTCAGTGATACAGAGGCTTCAGTGGTTCACAAGCCAAATTAGCTATCAGCATTACCCAAAAGAGCCACAGTAGTGTGAATTCATTGTTTCATTTACTATAGTACTAGTCATTTTTAAATAGTATGGTGGGGAAATATTTATTGTGTGTGTGTGTATATAATATATATTCTCACAGCAAATAAGTTAATAACTTAGTGCAAGTTGATAACTTAATTGGTTAATAGCATAGTAAAAGTATCCTGATTGGTTGTTAATTAAATCACACAGTGTTTTAATATCATGTGCAGCAGAGAGACTCATTAATGAGCCACTTGTGGTTCGTGAGCCGCAGTCTGAGTATCACTGGTCTAAGTAGTTACTCCTGGGGGAATTCTGTGCCTGGCAGGGGGCGCAGAATTCATACCTTCCACAGATTTCTTGGCTCCCTTGCAGAAAAATGGGGGAGCAAAGAAATCTGTGGGAAACACATGCCCTTTTGCGGCAGCCCGGGCACATCTGCTGGGAGCAGGCAGCAGCAGAGAGCAGATCACCTGAGGGGGGGTGGGAGAGACTAGGCATGCATGGGTCCATGGAGAGACATTAAGGGGGTGAGGCTGGGTGCTTGCCTATTTGTGAATGAGTGAGAGAGAGAGATTCACTGTGTCCCTCTCCTCCCTGTTGCTGCATCCTGGGCTTGAGGCATAGGGCTGTGTAAAGCAGGCTCTGTCCCTGAGGCAGAGCAGAAATGTAACAACTAAGCAGGCAAGCTGCTAATGTTCGTTAATTGTTCCCATTCTTAGTCAGTTAAAGCTCCTTTACCTTGCCAGAGTGGTGTAAAGGAGCCTTACTGTAAATGACAGTAATATAATCCTCAACTAGGAAGGCCTATGTGCTTTCTCACTTTTTTTCCTGTGCCAGAGAGGCACAATGGGTTAGATTACAGCTCAGGATCTCTTTTACTTATCCATTTAAAAAAAATCCAGGACAATGATTAGCAAAATTATATGACTTTCTTGTCTGAAAGTCTGAGCAATTTAAAGCAATATTCTACTTTACAGAACACCAAACACCAAAATTAAAAGTAATGAAATTTAAATGCATCTGAAGAAGTGGTTTTTTACCCACGAAAGCTTATGCCCAAATAAATCTGTTAGTCTTTAAGGTGCCACCGGACTCCTTGCAATTTAAATGAAAATGCAGGATTATAACTGGAATGCAGGGTCTTGGTTACCAAGTACAGTATTTGTAACTTAACTTTCATGGAAAAACAACAAGGAGTCTTGGTGGCACTTTAGAGACTAACAAATTTATTTGGGCATAAGCTTTCGTGGGCTAAAACCCACTTCATCAGATGCATGGAGTGGAAAATATAGTAGCAGGTTTATATACACAGTCCATGAAAAGATGGGAGTTGCCTTACCAAGTGTGGGGGGGGGTCAGTACTAACGAGATAATTCAATTAACAGTAGAATACCAAGGGAGGAAAAATCACTTTTAAAGTGGTAATGAGGGTGGCCCATTTCAAACAGTTGACAAGAAGGTGTGAGTAACAGTAGGGGGAAATGACAAAAACTAATTTCCCCATACCAGTTAATAGGGAAAAGGGGAAGGATGATGATGATACCAGTCAGACTATTAACTGCATAACTTATATCAGTGTGCTCAATTTATAAGTTCAAACATATCATATTCTTCGTAATTATGGTATTACTAACTGTCCTCCTTCCCAGTGCTAATTCTTCAGTTCTATATGCCAACAGTAGCGTACGCTTGAGCTACTCAGAAGGGAAATGGGTCCAAGCTCCAAAGTTCAGATCAGAACTTCCCCAGTGTTCATTGGCGTTCAGATCTGGGATTGTGTTTCAGACCCATCTCCACTATGACTGAGTTCCTGTCTGGCAAGTCATGCATGAGCATTTCAAATTGCTGAGATGTTACCCTAGTGTTACACCTGAAGTTTCAGCAATACAGGTTCCAGAGGGATTCCCTATATATGGAGATTGAGATTATTAGCTTGATTTTGTTCCCACTGAAGTCAATGATAAATCTCCCATTGTCTTCAATGGAAGCAGAGTTAGTCCATGTTGAACACTTTTGAAGATGGATAATGGAAATAATGCTGGAGCCAGTGAAAACTTTGTGTACTCATTTTATGAGATCTGAGATGATAATTCTAATTAAATTCATTTTCTCTTCTAATAATTAAATTGCTAAATTCAGACAGCTAATTCATCAGAGCCATCTACTATGCAATCTAATAATACACGCTGAGTATTAGTCAATACTCATTTCATACAATCAAAATAATCAGCTTCATGATTATAATGGAAAGCAGACTGATTAAAAGTAGTAATTGCATTATCTCCCCACTATTCAGGCATACATTTTAAATAAAATTAGCACAATAAAATAAAATGTGAGGAAGGGTTTAGATTATATCTGTGGAAATCACACAAGGGGAGTATCATTTTCATCACCCTTTAGCAATTGACACACGTAACAGGTAATGAGTCTTATATCGCACCTAGCTTAGGAGTCTTTAGCTCAAGTAGTAGAGAGACATATGTGTCTAGCACTGGAGGTTCTAGGTTCAAACACCACTGACTGCTCAAGAGGCTCTCGTTATAGCTATGCTAGCCTCTTCCCCCTAATATTTCCCACTGTTGCAGCTCCACCAATGGCTGTGCTAGCACGGAAGACTGTCCACTGCAATTAGCAACTATCGTCTCAACCATGTGGTTAAAATGCCACTGGCTGACCTACACTAGCAGGTCTAGGAGACACACTGGCACCTGGTCTACGCTAAAGCGCCCACTGTTGGAGAAGCACCTAGTTTGATTTTTTTTTAGCAGGGAAGTGGATATAGGCAATCCCATACAGTAGTGATAACCGATTAATGAATATCTTTAGACTTCAGTGTTTTGTGGGAAATGTGGCATGAATAGCCGATAAAGCTCAAGTTTATGATTGATTAATTAATATATTTAAAAGACCCAACATGCAGCCAACATGAATTTCTCAAGGTCCCTTCCTGCCCTGCATTTCTAAGGTTCTATGAACATAGTATAGTGAGATATTTGGCCCTCAAGTCTAGCCAGAATACTGGCTGATTACTGGCTCTTGTGCAAATAGACAAGCATTTGATTAGATTGCTTGTTCCAGGTAATTTAGGACAAACTTTAGCAGGTGTGAAGTTTTTGGTCCTTTCTTCAGGTCCGTGACATTTTGTAATATTTGACACAAAAACAAAAAAGTTCTCAGTGACTGCTTTTCATGCTTGAGAGAAAACTGGTTTGGTTCAGGTGGGCAAGGACTACCACAGAGTGTTTTGGCTGCTTTGTTTTAAAGGTGCATCCAACGCTTATAACTGGCTGGAGACAGGAAACATGTTGCCCAAGGCAAACTTCTCTCGATGCCATGAATGAAAAGAGAGTTCTGTGGCAGAGTAGGAATTCATACTTTAGAGGTGTTGTCATCCTCTTTGTCAATGGCTGGCTTGTAGATGACTCTTCTGTTGTCTTCTCGTTCCTTTTTGCAACTATAACAAAATAATTATATTAGCAAAGTGAAATTGTAAAAGCATCCATGACTATTTAAAACACGTTATTTTTCAGGGTATGGGGTAATTCTTTCAGTACTAGTGCACTTTGCACCACTCACTGGGGCCAGTACTTAAAAATATGTAGGGATAACAGTTTATGCATCGTACAAAGCTAGTGTTCATTACAAGGAAAAACTTTGAGTTGGCAAAGGGGAAATAAGCAACCTTGGTCTCTCCTCCAGAACTAACGCAGACTGATTGCTATAAAAACCAAGTGCTCTCAATATATATCATATAGGACTCCGTCCCTTAATTGACATAACCCTTCCTGTGGTAGGGATTTATTCTAAAACTCCACTCTCTTCTAGTCTGACTTCCTTTCCAACTGCATATGCACAGTAGCAGATTCAGAGAGCAGCTAAAAGCAGGTAAATTTTAAGCAACAGAAATGGGATCAGGGAAAGAACAAATAGAAGGAGGTGAGAGATGGGGGAGAGCACATCATCTAGCCAGCTGTCCACCCCAGAAAGGTAGGAGCTCATTCCCTAGCCTCTGCTCCCTGGAGCTATCCAGGACCGAAAGCATTTCAGTCCACTCTCCATAGATGCATGCTACAAGACTTTTCCTCATTTCTGAACTCCTTATCTTTGGGGCTGTCATAAATATAAAGGGAAGGGTAAACAACTTTAAATCCCTCCTGGCCAGAGGAAAAACCCTTTCACCTGTAAAGGGTTAAGAAGCTAGGATAACCTTGCTGGCACCTGACAAAAATGACCAATGAGGAGACAAGATACTTTCAAAGCTGGGGGTTGGGGGGGGTGGAGAAGCAAAGGTTCTCTCTGTCTGTGTGATGCTTTTGCTGGGAACAGAAAAGGAATGGAGTCTTAGAACTTAGTAAGCAATCTAGCTAGATATGCGTTTAGATTCTGTTTTGTTTAAATGGCTGATAAAATAAGCTGTGCTGAATGGAATGTATATTCCTGTTTTTGTGTCTTTTTGTAACTTAAGGTTTTGCCTAGAGGGATTCTCTGTCTTGAATCTGATTACCCTGTAAGGTATTTACCATCCTGATTTTACAGAGGTGATTCTTTTACTTTTTCTTTACTTAAATTTCTCTTTTAAGAACCTGATTGCTTTTTCATTGTTCTTAAGATCCAAGGGTTTGGGTCTGTGTTCACCTATGCAAATTGGTGAGGATTTTTATCAAGCCTTCCCCAGGAAAGGGGGTGTAGGGTTTGGGAGGATTTTGGGGGGAAAGATGTTTCCAAGCAGGCTCTTTCCCTGTTATATATTTGTTAGACGCTTGGTGGTGGCAGCAATAAAGTCCAAGGGCAAAAGGTAAAATAGTTTGTACCTTGGGGAAGTTTTAACCTAAGCTGGTAAAAATAAGCTTAGGGGGTTTTTCATGCAGGTCCCACATCTGTACCGTAGAGTTCAGAGTGGGGAAGGAACCTTGACAGGGGGTTTAATGTGAGCATTGCTGAGGTATTTTGGCAAAAAACTGAGCACCTCTGTAGGGGTTAGGGTAGAGGGACAGGTACATTGGGACAAAAGTCATCTCCGGTACACCAGCTTGAGTTCATATTTATTCTCTGTTTTCTATGAAATGGGTTTCATCTGCTTAGGTCCACTAGTCATAGAGGAGAATCAACATATTTACCGTGTTTAAACAAACAAAGGTGGGACAGCAAAATCTCTTACCTCTTCTTCCTAAGCAGCCAAAAGGCTACTGCAAGCATGATGATAACTCCAAGAACACTGGCTAACACAACTGAAAGTACAACACCTAGGAAAAGGAGGAAAATGCACAGGTTTGTTTTCTTTCTTTCTTTATTTCATGTACAAAGTTACTTAAGGAAGTAAAATGGCAAACTTATTCCTTTACTAGGTAGACTTCTCAAAAGATGCAAATCTGAAGACCCCATCCTGAAATCGGATCCACACAGGCATACGTCTATATTCACCCAGAACCCCAAGGAGCACTCAATTGGCACAGGAGTCATGGAGCAGCTTATAGGATCGGGGTTCTTTATGCCTGCTGTCAGTTAACATCTCTGTTCAGTACAGGCAAAATTCAAGAATCAGACCCAAATGAGAGAGAATGCCAAACTAATTCCTGCTCTCTTTCCATGACCAAAGAACACAGCTGAATGTAGTCCTTGCTGCAGGTGGTGTGTTTTGTAATTGAGAATATTATTTTCAGGTGTTGCTACAAAGGTTAAAGGAGGTGGAGGATTAAATCATTATATTAATATAACATTTAAAAAGTATCATTAGTTCATGTCTGTAAGCACTTCGGAGATGATGTGTTGGATATCCCTCTCAAGCTTGAGATTCTGCAGATTTGATATTTGTAAATAATTGGGGTGAGTTTAATCATCATCAACAAAGGGTCAAACGCTGGCTTGACATGCATTTCTGCACTCCATGAAAACAGCACAATAATCCCACCTTGTATCCCTTATGCTCAACAAGAGATGGCTGTCTCTATTCTTGCCTCTCTGGAAGTCAGAAAGGCTTCTCTGTAGGCCTGCTGCTATTGGAGTCATGGATGTGCACAATAAGGTTTTGCTCTACTGTGGCTGCCTGATAAAAACACATCCCTATGCACTTCCCCACCATCTCTTCCACCTTCCAAAATGAAGTTTGTTCCTGCTCTTGGCACAAGTGGTTGTAAAAGGCTCTGCATCATGCTGCTCTCAACTGGCATAAAGATGCATATGTTAACAGTGCTCTTGCAGGGTTGTTGGTTTTTTGGTTCATTGTCCTAGTAACCCCAGAGACTGTTCCTGGTGTGAGAACAGCAGGATGTACTGTGGGGTACATATTCGGAATGTCTTTAAAGGAAATGTTGCTTACAAACAGGAGCTAAATTATTTGGTTGTTTGGATGGACTGGGAGACAGGAAACCTAAACTCTGTTCCTGGCTTTGACACTGACTCTGTGTGATTTTTGGGCAAGTCACTTCATGTTCCCTGTTAGATGGTAACAACAATGCTTACACCATTTTGCAAAGCACTTGGAGATTATGGGTAAAAAGTATATTATTTGATTTGTTTTAGGTTAGTTAAATCATGTATTATAATTCAATATAATTTAGTGTTAACCATAGGGCAGGACTTACAGCAAAAAGGTACACTAGATATTGAAAGGTCACTTTAAGACAGAAATGGAAAATGGCATAGAAAGAGAAGCTCAATCAATCTGAATCACAAAGATCACTGTTGTGTATATATGCTGTTAGCAATCCAACAACATACCCGTGCTCAGTCCACCAGGTACTGAATCTTGACAAAATGAAGGGGGCAGGGAGGGAAAAAGTGAAAGGTTAATCACTAAGGTTACACTGGAAATGAGTATTAAAGAAATATAGATCAGGTATTTTCCTCATAACTTTTTGTTTCTTGGTAAAATGGTGCTGCTTGGCTACTAGTCTTGTAGACATTTTTAATGTGTGACTTTTAAGACAGACCCTACAGATTGCCTGTCACTTAAAGCACTGCTATCTGAGAAATTTTAAAGTTAGTATTGCAATTGCTGCTTCCTAGACACCTTAAAATCTTTGCACATTGTTTGGCCAGAACAGAGGTTTGGAGTGGATCACAGACAGACATACTGGAGCGCACCAGTTATTCATTGTCTGACAGTGACTAATTCTGGAAACTTCAAGAAAAAGGCATAAACTCCTACTATATACAATTGTATGCTACCGCTAATCATCTGATCTTCTGAAGCATGAGACAGTAGGAAGTGCACTGGTCTGACTTCGAGTTCCTTTGTCCTATTATAGCACAGCATCAGAAGTAGCTAAGGAGGCAGAATGGCCTATGATGGCAAGAATTACCTGTGTTCAGCATAACATCAAAGAAATCTGACCTGTCACAGGAAATTGAAACCTGAGCTAATCTCTCCCAACCCTCAAGTAAGAGGAGAGGGAATGCTGAGGATTAAGACTCAATATTCCCTCAATTGGTGGCTGGCAGAGTTGCATCTCATGTCTCAGTTTCCTGTATAGTAATGAGCCAGGTCCTCGAAAGACACCCACACACACTCCAAAAGAGAGGGAAGTCAGGATTCCTAACACTGAAGTAAAGGAAACATCAAAGTTTTTCCTTCTCTTTACCTCTTTATTATATAAAAATACAATAAAATGCACAAATTACTTCTCTTTAACAGTTTAGTAATTTTTTAAAAGGCACGTTTGCTCTGCAGGGCACAGATTAAAACTCTAGAACAATTACTTTGTTGCCGAATAGTGAGGGGTGGCAATATGTGCAAAACTTGGACAGTTACTTCCTGACATTTGAGTAAAACAGCTTGTATAGTAGACCTCTGTTTGCAGGCATTTGACTTGTTTTCTTCATTGTATTATATATACAGCTAGCACTGTCTTAGATCTATCTGTGAGAGGTTGGTTTTAGTATTTATGATGGTCTGGTAAACTTACTGGTCACTACTTGTCTATTTTGGGTAAAGCGGGCTTTGTAATACTGGAGTATTTGTAATCATAATTGCAGTGTATTGGGATATTGCTCTTCTGTAACATTAGCCTGTGAAAGTGCTAATGGTGACATGGTCAAGGGAATAGTATAAAATCCTCATTCTACCCCAAACTCAAAGGCAGCAGCGAAATTGAGTGTCGTTGGATAGACTGTTGCACTATATATTCCAACATAGATAGGCTTACATGTCTTGTTTAATTTCCACCTACTTAATTGAGGCTTGAACTAAAAATTTGATACATTGGTGAACCTCAGCAAATGTGGGATAAGGTTGTTTATATGACTAGGAAGCTTGGCCTTTATTCTTCCCCAGCAACTTCCCTCTCTGCCCATCACAAGCCTCTTTAGGAAGGGATTGCTGCATGACAGGAAGGGCTTAGAATAAGCACTGATTTACCAATTTATTCAGTCCACCCGTGCCAGTAAAGGTTTCCCTTACAGCATATCTGCTAGAGTTTATTCCAGTTGTAAATATATCAATACTGGACTTCCATCTCTTCCATTAGACTGTGGACTAGTCTTCCAAGGGATCTAAGAGCAAGTATTCCCATGGCAGTGTTTGTATGTTTGATTTAAATCTATAGCACATGGGCATGAAGCATGTCTCTTTGAACAGTTCTGTATCTGTCAGGCACATTAAATCAGGCAGTTGAGAGAGACTGACTACCACTTTTCTGTCCTAAGGAATCTGAAGTAGGAGCCTCTTTGACTGGATTGAAGATCCCTGTGTTCTTCAGTTGACAAAGGGAAAAATGGGTCTTTACTTTACTGTGGCTATATACCGTAGTGACTCCATGGCTTTAATCAAAGGAGACCATGTATACAGGAGGACAGAATAATATTTAATCAGATATGGGGACAGAGTCTAAGAAATAGGAAAAGTAGTTGAAAAAGGCCTTTGGAATTTAGTTTTAATGCAGCAGAAAGATCCTGCTTTTCCTGAACAAGATACTTGCTGCAGCTACTGAAAAAAATAAGGAACGATTGTGTACTTTCAGTAGTGGAAGGGATGCTTTGATCACAGCTTTTATATAGCATGCAATGAAAAAAGTCAAGATGCAGAACTGCCAAAAAATTTAGAGATGACCAGTGTTTCTTGTCTGTGAATTGCACATAGTCACTGAAGTAATTTATTCCCAATGCACTCAGGGCTTTGCTTACATGAAATAAGAAAGTATTTCCAATTTATCAGAGGGGTAGCTGTGTTAGTCTGTATTCGCAAAAACAACGAGGAGTCCAGTGGCACCTTAAAGACTAACAGATTTATGTGGGCATAAGCTTTCATGAGTAAAACACCCACTTCTTCAGATGCATGCTGTGAAAATTACAGATACAGGCATCAATATATATTGGCACATGAAGAGAAGGGAGTTACCTTACAAGTGGAGAACCAATGTTGAAGGCCAATTTAGTCAGGGTGGATGTAGTCCTCTCCCAAAAAATTGATATTGACACCTCCTCATCGATTTTTGGGCCTTTTTCTTATATAGGTTCCTATTATCCCCCACCCCCATCCCGATTTTTCACATTTGTTGTCTGGTCACCCTACCCACTGTTGTAAGAAGGCTGGGAGCCAATACTCCTGGGTTCTGTCCCACTCTGGAACTGACTTCCTGTAAAACTTCGACAGGTTTCAGAGTAGCAGCCGTGTTAGTCTGTATTCGCAAAAAGAAAAGGAGTACTTGTGGCACCTTAGAGACTAACAAATTTATTTGAGCATAAGCTGAAGAGAGCTGTAGCTCACGAAAGCTTATGCTTAAATAAATTTGTTAGTCTCTGAGATGCCACAAGTACTCCTTTTCTTTTTGTAAAACTTTGAGAAAGTCTTCCTGTTTCTCAATTTCCCCATCTGTAAATTGGAGATAATGAATATGCTGCCAGGGGGCTGTGAAATGCCTTGAGAACTTGGGGTAAAAGGTGCTAATTAAATGCAAAGTGTTATACTGACCTCTTTCATCAAGTGTAAAACTGCTTCTCCTTCACCATTAACGTCTGTTAACTCTAGATACATTTTACTCATACTTTAACCAAAAATGTAGGGAGGTGAGGCATCTGTTCTTAAACTACTGTCCCTCCTCAAGTGCTGCAAGTGAAAATAGTTGACTTTTATATGCACAGAAATGAGGCCTGAGTGGACCCGAGGTACATTAAATCCATGATTCAGTTTAAAGGCACGTTTGAAAGTTCCCTGAATTGCCGTTAGTGCCAAAACGCCAATCTGACCTTTTCAAATGCATCTGCTCCATAAGGGCTTTCCCTGAGAGGCAACTATTTCGTAGTTCCCAGCAAGCGTGGCTAATTAATTAGAAATCAGGAGACACAGTAGTGTAAGTAGCAAAGTAGCCTTTGACACTGAAGCATTGGAGAAGACAAGGTGTGGGAATTTAATATATTCGTGGAAAATATCACAAAACTGGGAAGACATGCTTTGCTATTTAACTATAATACATCCAGCCTGCTCTGTATTGTAGATTTTTCCCCCTCCAATATAAGTAGAAAGGAATGTCTAGTTAAATGAATATTAGAACTGATCAGAAAAAATGTGCTTAAAGAGCAAGGAAATTGATATGTCTATTTATTTAAAATATTACTGTCTAGGCTATATGTAAAAGTTCAGAACAAGGTATTTACACATTTAATAGAAGTCTTTGTGATTGTGTTTTACTCCCGTATAGTGTGTATTAAAGGGATAAAGATGTTGCTCACAGAGGTTTTGTATGTACATCTTAGTAGAAGTGGGTGCAAGCCACAACACTGAAATCTGGAGCCTCCTCTGGATTTCACATACCCCAAAGTTTAGCGCTTTGCTTCAGCCCATTGTAGAGGTTAGGGCCAGTGATCAAATTTTCATGCATATCTGGGTTTGGATTCCAAACCCTTCCAAACCTCCATGGTTTTTGGAGCCAGAGTTTTGATGCAGCCCATTAGAGGAAGGAGCTAGATATGATCAGATATGGAGCCAAACTACCCCCAATTTGGGGGGAGTTTTTAATCTGGGATTTGTTTGGGCCCATCTCTAAATTTCATATGTCTGTTTTGTAGTTGTATGTTTATCTAAGGGCTTGTCTACATGGGGGAAATTGACCAGAATAGTTATTGCGGACTAATTATTCTTGAATAAAGTGATTTATTCCAGAATAGAGTTCCCCTCTGAATACTATTGCACAATAGTTTATTCCAGGATAGCTAGTCTGGTCAATTTCCTGAGAGAGGCACAATTTCCTGCCTGTGTTTTGTTGGTTTGACAAAAAGTGGAATAACAAGTAGATACTGTTGCCTTAAGATTTTGTAATGGATAGACTAACATGTGCCTTTATTAATCTGCAGACTGACTGTTTGGCTGGATTGGATTCTTAATTTGTTTTAAGCTTCAGTAATCAGTCTGAAGATGTGTAGTATTTGACTTAGACCCATCTGCCAAAGCAACACATTGAATGTGCCAGCACTCCAAGGGCTTTGTACAACTCAGTGATAGCCCACTTAATGGTTTTGACTGATTTCAGAGCAAAACATTGGTCATTACAGTTCATTTTGCACAAATAAGCCAAGTAAACCTTACTGAGATGCAGCAAAGCTCATCATCAAAGGTGTAGGCATTTATGCAAAAGCCCCTCACACACAATTGTCATTATGTATCACTACATAATAAATTCTTTAAACCAATTGTATCTTTAGACTTCAACCTAATAAGATGGCTAATTTTACATCCATAACAATGGATTGTGCAATCCATTGTTATGAGTTATTTTTACTTCCAGGTGTCAAACTCCTCAAGGACATCCTCTGTAATTCCTCATAAACAGTCCCCCTGCAATGCAAAATTATGATTCCTTTTAAGAGTGTGGTCAGCACAATAATTATCATGTACTAGCTGAGTTTGACATCACCGTGGCTGAACTCTCTCTCCAATGTCAAGGTGCAATTTTTGTTTTGTTTTTTTAAATTAAAAACACACATGCTAAGTACCTGACCCTGCAAACACTTACAGTCTAATTCAGAGCCCATGGAAAGACACCTGTTGAGTTTAATGGTCACTGAATTGGAATAATTTTATTCTCATACATGCTGGCAGGATTAGGCCTCAAGACTGGATCAAAAAATGGTCTTTCTTCAATCCAAAATGTAAAAGTATGTAGTTTTTTCCCCAAAGGTTAACATATTCTGCCTCATTCTAATCAGATACTTATAAAAAGGAATACATTTCCACTATTCTCTGCATTACTAGATTTCCAATTTGTAACATGCCGTGGAAAGTTCTGCCCTTTCTTTTGTGTATTAAAATCAAATTGCATATCTCATGAAATTTCCCCAGGGCCCAATCCTGTCTCTATTGAAGTCAGCAGGCATTTTGTAATTGACTTTGATTGGAGCAGGATTGGAGCCTCAGCAGAAGTTTTTAAACAATACGTTTGGGGTCCAGAGATGTGGGACTGCAGTGCAGTTATGGAGTATGCTACAGTTAATTGATAAAAGCTTACATAGGCTAGTTAAAATGAGGAAAATTTGGCAACATGGAACTGGAGGGTGTACGTGATCATAATGCCTCTTAAAACAGTGACTGGAACTAAAAGATTTAAAATTAGAGAGAAAAACTGTCTAGTGTAAGTAATACAAAAAGTTATTTTCCCATTGAACATGACAGGAAGGGCTGAGGCTCCCAATACACTTTCCCCTGCCTGATCTTCCTCACTCTACTCTCCAAGATCAAAGGACAATGACTGAGTGGGATCTGCTCACTTGATCCTAATGGGTGACAAATAGAACTTTGTATACACCTTACTCTCATACAATTGCTCATGTAAGCAACTGTAAGAGGAGAAAAAGGGAGACAGCAATGTAAGGGGAAACAATACTGTGTGAAAACTCCTACTGATCTCTTTGTGCCTGAAGAAACCAAAGCAATGCTATAGGCACCTAGTATTCCAAATCCACATGCATAACTATTTACCATTTCTTTACACAGGCATTTATTTTACTTACCTTGACGGAAGGAGACAGAAACCAGCCTTTCATCAAACTCCTGAATGTGTCTGAAGTTATTAACCATTTCCAGGGGCGTGGGGTCATTGGGCTGTGTGCAGTACAGAGCTGTTTCCAGTGCCAGCAGCTAGGGACAAAACATACAATTCAGCATCCAGTGTATAGAGAAAGCAAGGTGGGTATGTTTAGACATCTTCTTATGCTCAAATGACACTGAGAATCAGTTCCATCCAATGAGGGACTGTTTCAACACACAGAAATGCATGAAGGAGGTGGGATCAGTTATGCAGTAGCTACAAATGCAATGTGCTGTGTAAGCCCAAATGTAAGCCCAAATGTCAGGGGTGCTGGAACAATTTTCATAATGGGGGTGCTGAGAGCCATTGAACCAAACTGTAAACCCTGGATATGATGGAAATCATTTCAAGCCAGGCGATGCAACTGGCAGCACCCCTAGTTCCAGCACTTATGTCAAATATAATTTGGTGTGCAAACAGTTTGACGTCAATTGTCTAAAAGGCTGTTTCTCCATGTCCATATATGAACTTAATTTAATTATGTTAGAGTAACCCTAATAATTGATATTTAGCTGTCAGGAAAATGGGGAAGAGGAAGCCCTTGTTTCATGAGTGTTTGTAGACTTGTTCTCTGCTTGTTTTTCTTAAACCTCAAAACACAGCAAACAAATATCTGTGTATGCAGAACCCCCCAAAAAAGTCCCCAGACATTCCTGCTGTCTGACCTGGATTAGAATAGGTAACACATGAGTGGATCTGATTTTAAGTTAATAAAAGGACTAGCATAGAAGAATTATTATTGAGGGAAAGTTTCCTTCCACGATTGGGTGGTTGAAATATTAGTGCAAACAATCCAAGTCTGAAGCAAGTAATAGAAGTAATCTTAATAAGCTGGATATTTTGGTAAGGTAAGGAATGCACATGCAATGGTGAGCGTCATAGAAATGAATGCTCACCAAAAGGAGTGCAGCTGCTAACTTGATCATAGATTTCTGTGATAAAACAGTTTGGATTTCTTATTTGTAAGTTGCTAGCTAAGCTCTTTCCACCTAATGTGGATCAGAAGAAGCTGGTGTTTGGGGGTTATATAACTCAGTATAGAACATATTTCTGTTCTTTTCCTACTAGTTTATTAGTTGACCACCTGAGAGGAGGAAAAAACTTAATTAGTTTCTAAGAGATGCACATGAAGACAGAGGTTGGTAAAAACCAAGGTAGCTTTGGTTTTGCCAAATAACCCTTCACCAGTTAGGCTTTGGTTTTATGAAACCAAAATCAAAGCTAGAAGTTGTTCCTATCTAGATGTTACTGTTACATAGGATTGGCCTGGCAATTTGTGAAAGATACTTGCATGAAGACAGCAAATGCTGAAGCAAAGGAAGAATACAGATTGACTACAAGTTTCAAACACAAATCTCTCTGTGCCTGTTTAACTGTGGGTGAAACTTTTCACCTATGATGGTTAGCAGACAGAATTAAGGTGTCCTGTATCTAATTTTCAGGGGCAGTCAGGTACTTGGAAGTTCAAGTGACCTTAAACTGCACCACCAGTTATTTTTTATTCACAAAATTGTGGGCAGAAAAATAAAGATTCTGTTAAGGAGGGACTGAAAATTTGGACCATAATCTCGATCAAAGAGATTAAATAATTTTTTTCCCCACTCCAAGAATAATGTTAGTAATCACATCTTTTAGTTTTATAAGACCTTATGGAAAACTTCCTATTTGAAATCCAGGAAATGAGAATACAAATTTAACATTCCTTAATAAACACCAAACAGATTAATTTATTAGCATTTAATTTAATATCAGACTTTAGGCTACAATGACAGGCTAAATAAGAAAATATCTGTTTTACTTAAACTTGCCTGTTCTTGTGAAACTTTTACTGGGTGTCGGAAAACTGTCCAGAGAACACTAGGGTAACAAGGAGGAGTTGTCAGGGATCCTTCATAGCGATAATACTCATCCAGTTGGTCAGGAAGCAGTTCTTGGATGTCAAAACCTGGGACTAGAGCTACCTGGTCTGAAAGAGAGAATCCATGTTAATTCCATATTCTTCATCACACTTCTCTCAGTGCTAGTCTACTTTGCATCATCATGACTTTCTACTGGACTGCATTGGTTTGCTGTATATCTCTGCACAGGTGAGTCCCAGTAGGGCAAATTTGTTTTCAGCAAGCATTTTGATCTCAATGAAAAAGGAAAAAGTGTACTTTGATAGATGCTAGACCCAATTTAATATAGAAATGTAGTTCATTAAACCACTTCTAAATTTGTTCTTATACAAGTCTGACATGTTACACCTGGATATCAAACCAGGGTTGTGATTAATGAGGAAAGTTGCTCTTTGCTATTGAGTGCACCCTGCTCAGGTGCACTACTGGATGAATTTCTTTATAAGCAGTGCAGGCAACTACCCAATATTAGACCTCACACATCACAACTTCTTGTCAACTGTCTAAATGGGCCATCTTGATTATCACCACAAAAGTTTTTCTTCTCCTGCTGATAATAGCTCATCTTAATTAATTAGCCCCTTACAGTTTGTATGGCAACTTCCACCTCCTCTGTATATATGTGTGTGTATATATATTCTTACTATATGTTCCATTCTATACATCCGATGAAGTGGGCTGTAGCCCATGAAAGCTTTTGCTCTAATAAATTTGTTAGTCTCTAAGGGGCCACAAGTACTCCTGTTCTTTTTGTGGATATAGACTAACACGGCTGTTACTCTGAAACTAGACATTTAGGGTTTGTCTACACTGCAGTCACAGGTGTGACTGCAGCTTAGATAGGTGTATCTATGCTAGCTTTACTTTAACTAGCGCAGCTAAAAAGAGCAGAGAGGACGTACTTGTGCAGGCTTCAGCACCAAGGAACCTGAGTATGTACTCAAGTTGCTAACCTGCGCTGAAGCTCATGCTGCCACATCTTCACTGCTATTTTTAGCTGTGCGAGCTTGATTAAAGCTAGCGTGGATATATCAACCCATGCTGCACTCACACCTCCAACCACAGAGGACTGGGTTTGAAATATTCTGTCTGCTGTTCATAATGGTTTGAGTGTGTTTGCCACTACGCTGAAGATTTTCTTGTCAACACCATGTTTTTATACATCTCGTCAACATTGTCTGCATTTAATTGCATTCACGAACTCCTTTTTTTTTTAAAAGACACCTGAGGAAAAAATCCTGTGAGTTCTGGCCATTTGCTTACTGGGAGTGAGTATCATTATCATTATTTGCATAAATCAGCTATCTGTATACTAAATTGAGGAGCAAGTAACCAAAGGAACAGCACATGCAAGTCATACGACCTGGTTAGGAACATGTGATACTAATGAACACAAGTGTACCTAAAAGCTAGCTGTATGATCCCCTTAAGAGGAGTGCACTGTACTTAGAACTGTTCTGAAGCAGTTTTGACAAAAGCATGACATGCCCTGCATGAATCCCAATGATAAGGTTCTGAGCCACTCAGCCACTATTGATCTTTTGCATACAACAGCTACTCACCTTTGTATTTCACGTTCTGGAAATGACCGAAGATCTTTTCATAGGATGGATTGAATGGGCCTTTCTGTAACAAATAGATTAACAGCTGTCCAAGTAATCAGGGCTCTGTGTGCATAATCTTAAATTCTCCAGACAACTGGTGTTCAACATTTGGTTGACAGTGTCATCTTTTAGTGAAATTTTTCACCCAACAACACCAATACTGATGTAATAACATAGACTGATGTAGAAATTAAGGCTGTGCCCTGGGATTGTTTTGTTTAGTCTGTTCTATCCTTCTTCTCCATTTCAATACACTCTTAAATAATAAGCTGCAGCCTGGGGGTATTTGATTTCTTTATCACACTACACAATATTAAATTGTCATAATTATGGCTTATCAGTTGTTTGCAATATGATGAATTGCAAAGTTAAAACCTTAAATAACTAAAATGTTCAAGGAGAAATATTTTGCATTAAATCAGTTCAATGATTGTGTTAATTAAAGTGATCTGTATAATAATGTTTACTGAATAACTAGGTGAAATTTAAAGGCCTGTGACAAACAGGAGGTCAGACTAGATGATCCAATAGTCCCTTCTGGCCTTAGACTCAATGAATAACAGTGGTCTTAAACTAAATAACCAGTAATATCTGACTGTAGGATAAATTTCCAAAGCATATAGCTGCACAACTCTCATTAGCTGAAACTCCACACAGTTCTTCATAAAATGTTACCTGATAGGGTCTCGTCTTGCAATCCTTTATATAGTTAGAATTTCCACTAGCTTCAGTGGAAGTGATTTCTTCACAGGGACTGCAGGATTGGTCCCTTACTGCACAACAGCATTATGGAGCAGAAGACTTCAGACCAGAAAGGTTTTAGATGAAGCCTACATTCTTTATTCTGTAACACGCCTTATGGTGTGTGTTTGAAAAAAACATGTAGCCTTTCAGTGGCTAGCCTGCTGTGCAAAGAAATGGAAGCCTGTTTCCTTTAAGAACTTTATACATGCTAATTCTATGCTGACAGGTTTCTCAGATCATGCATGGGTTTCTAGTCATAGCCATAGGTAGCATATTTTGGGCTTTCTGTTGCCAACCAGAAACCGTTAGTCTGCTGCTTGCAATCCAAAATAAAGAATGATACTGTTAGAAGGTCAGGACCAGTGGTGAGAGTTATAACTCTAATATCCAATAAGAGACTGGCTGCTATAGCTTTGAATCAATGCCTGTTTTCTTAATAATTTGGAGCTGATTCTCAGCAACTCATCTGGCAACCAGAAAAAATTGTGTCCTAAGTTCAACTTTGAAAGCCACGATGTTTCTGAAATTCTCAGATGGAAATAAGTAAATAATGTTAAATTTGGAGATATCCTTATTTGATTTTTAATCAGCATTATATAATAAGCATTTATTGTAGAAAAACCAGAAGACTTCTAAGACTTCTAAGATAGTTGGGTTTTCAAAGAAACAAAACTTTTCTCAGAAAGTGTCTGCATTCCTTGAACACTTTCAGGTTTTCGATGGAAAGCTGAAACTTTTTGGGGTTTCAATTTTGTTGACAAAAAGTCAAAATGTTCTTTAGGGGGGAAACACATTTTCCAATCTGCTCTACTGTAAAGTTCATTAGCTCAATGCTGAGTTTATAGCTAGCCTTTTTTGGTCACATTTACACAAAGTAATTGGAAATGTTTGCCTGGCAGAGTTACAGGAGGTTCCATCAGATTGCTGACTGGGTTATTTAATTGCCTCTGTGTCAGGGTTAGGTGTGGAAACCTGTCCCCCTGCTGCGTTGAAAGGTTCACTGAATTTACTTGTCTCATAATTTTTTCTTCATCACCAGCTTCATTGATACAAAGGAACTGTGTGCCTGTGAAGTACTAGTTGTGAAGGGTATGGTCACACCTTAGTCTTCTATAATTAATTACCTGTGTCAGGGTTCTGCCAGCCTGGTGACCCCTACTGTGTTAAACAGTGTTCCGTGCTACATATACAACTGCCTTTACTATCTGGGAATATTCAAATGTGCAGACTTGATCTTCACTTTCTACTGTCATTTGTGAGAAACTCACCAGCTCCTTAGTCTGTGGAAAGCAAATTCAAAAGGATATGAACATGCCTGATATATTTTAAAATAAAATAACGAGTGAATACTCAAAATCTTTTCTCTTGCACTATACACCTAGTAAACAGAAATATAATGGAGGGCAGAATCTGGCCATACATATGTGTGTAGGTGGAGTGGAAGAGAGAGACCACATATCCAGACATGCCAATATTGATGAACTCCAAGTTAATCCCAGTCATCTCATTGTACTTAAAGCTTACAGATACTTTAATTATAGCATTATTAAATATGAAAAAAGCACAAGGCATGCATCTTACCTCAATGAGAACAGCCAAAACTGCTAGCCCATCTGATTTGTCTATTGCTGCTGTTACATCGGGGTATTTGTCAGAGTTATAATGTACAATATGTAGCTACAAAGAGGGAGAAGTAACGGTATTATCACCTCTGGCTCATGGTAGCATTTCTGTTGTCATAAAACAATCCAGGGCCCTAGACACCACAACATAAGGCCTCCTAACATCTTCCCCTTTAGCAGTGGCAGGAGGCCCTCTCCCCTTTCAGAGAAGCAAAGGCAGTGTTATGGTGCTGCTTTCTTTCACCCATGATTGGCGGGGATCCCCTGTCCTCCACAGAGAGGCAGAGTCAATAGCAGGTGTTCTCCCCGCCCCCCCAGTACCTGCCACAGTAATCAAGGTGTATCTGCTTGGGTGGATGTGATGGGCACCCTGTACTCTTCTCCTGGCACACAGAGTCCTCTGCTGGGGTGGATTTGGTGGGAACCAGAGCAGTGACTCTTGGGGTTAACTCCCATTGAGACTCATGGTACAGTTCACCCCTTTAAGAGCTATTGTTTCACACTGCCTGCAGACTCAGGCAGATGTCACTGCATCAGTTACCCTGGATTACATTTTCAAGCTTTCCTTTATGACCATGAGGACGAGAAACTTTATTTTATTTAAATTAAATCACACAGTGCCAGAAGCTACTGCCTTCAGCATGGGCCTGTGGTGTCTATGCCTCATAGACCCTGAGACTGATCATGGAGAGGCCAAGTCATTTAAAAATAATCCCAGCCCAAACTTGAAATGGCCAAGTGAACACACTTACATGCACATTAATCATGCATAAAAATTCACTCTGAATTTCTTTATTGTACTTTAATTACATTAAAACACCTGGCCTGTGATTCTTTTTCATCAGAAATTGAACAGTTTTAGAACTGCCTTGTAAAGTTAAATATTTTGAACACGAAATGTTAACATGATGAAACTGAAGCTGTCAGTGTGGAAATATAAATAAATAGACTGCAAGAGAATGAGGAATGGGGTCTACCAACAGCACCGTTATTTGTGCTTATTGGAGAACTACAAAAAGGACATGGAAGAGAAGGGTATTTAAAATTAAGTCCTCTACATACCTGTGTTTAACAAATATTCTGATTTTTTTACAATAACTTTTTAAAACAGTTGCAAAAAAGGTTTTGGATCCACTTTTGTACCATCAAAGTAGATGGAAAAATTCTAATGGTTCAGGATCAGGCACTCACATAGTAATTTGCAAGAGAGAACAGCTGCATGACAGGTGACCGTACTTAGTCTCTCAGTTCACAGTGATTTGGGAACATAGAACTCTAATACTGAATTTTGATATGCTTACTGTTTTCAAAAAAGAATCAAGAATTTAGTGTAAATAGTGTGTTCAGTTTATTGTTGCTAAGATTCCCAGAGACCTCATGTATAGGTACCTGTCAATTAAAGATTATTAGTAAAAACAAAATAATTTTCTGGAAGCTGATGCTTGGTTGGGTCTTGCTTGATGGATCACTCTTTAACAATCTGCAAATTTTCCACTAAAACATCAGATGAGCACTGGGAATTCTCTGATGGAAGCCTGACTTACTAAGGTTTCCCCTGGGTTTTGCTACGTACCTTACCCTACTTTCCTATCCGACATGAAACATCATCTGTTAACTGTTACTATATAACATTATGCAAACTCTTCATCAGTTATGCAGTTAACTCGCTTAACATGAGCATTGCGTGTGTTAATTGGATAATATTGTGGTTTGGCTCTCTGATGTAGTCTCGGATAGCTGAGCAAGTCACCAGCTGTGCAGTTATTTCATGTTAAAGTGTGTGAATCAAGCCAAAACCAGATTGGCTATACCCTTAGTTGCTACATGTAGGAAATAGGCAGTTATAAAACTATGCACCTAACTTGTAGGTGGCTATGAGCCAGATTTTCTTTTCTTTTGCAGCAATATAAATCCAGAGGAATTCTACTGGAGTCAATCTTGAGTCATGCTGGTGTTCGTGTGAGAGGACTCTGGCCTCATATCTCCTCCTAGGGCCAAACAGCATTGTTCTGTGCCTATCCCAAAGCTATTTATTCCAAACCAGAAAATTTCCTGGTAGAAGTTTTATGAATTACCATATGAACGAAGTGGCCTCAGATAGGCATTAACTTCCCACCCTGACAACAACCCTTCCCTGCCCCTATTCCAACCCATAACCAGCTAACATATATACATCCAACAGAATGAGCCTTCATTAATGAATTATGTTTGACTGGACTTCTCCAGCTTCACCGTTGCGATGACTTGGTATGTGTAGAGCAGGGATTTAAGGTAACAGACAAACTTATTCTGAAAAATATTTGAACTGCACAGAACCCCTTCCCACAGCCACTGAAGAAAGGGAAGTCTCCACTTTTGGAGTTAGCCTGTAAGAAAGAAATTGCCTTTCCAATAGCTTCAGCAAAGGGTATGGGTATTGTCCTTAGCCTAAAATTGTAACTTTAATCCTACTTCAATTTCAGATAGATTTGTAATTACTCTGGGACTATGAATTGAATAAATTAAGCATATAATTATTCATTGCTAAATCCAGTGGCCGATTACTAAAATTGATTTCCATTAATTGTGCTGTATGCATTTAGAACTGATTGTTACCATTACAGACCCCAACTGGTCTGCGCAGGTGCACCCCCACTCAGGCCTCAAGCAATCACTGCTCTTGTGGTGGGGTCATGCAATTCTCCCACTCTCAGATCAGGCCTTGGACTGCCATTCCCAGGTGCTAACTGTGATTACCTCAGCAGGCCTAATTTATAGTTCATAGCTGCAGGTCTGTTAACACCAAGAACACTGGCGGTGGTATCCAGTAATCAGACAGCCGAGCATTATTTGTTTAGAACAAAACAATTGCAGAGAAAAAGATCTTAAAACAATAACAGATTATGTGCACGTCTAGTTTACCAGGTGCCTACCCATCTGACACATCAGGATGCTGGTAGGTCTAAGTTTCCTACAGGCACCCAAAGACCGCGATAGTCTGTGATGGTTTCTTCCCATAACTCACCAGTCTTTTCTCCCCACTGCTTCAGGGAATGACTCCTTTACAAGCTGCTCAGTCTCTTCTCAGAGAACGTGTCTGTTTTAAACTGTTTTGTAGCTCTTTGATCTGTTAGTGTCCAGAACTGGCAAAACAACAGTGTAACTTCGGATTGGAGGCTGGAAGTAGGCCATTTTCCTGTAATTGCCCCATAAATATTTTTGGAGTATGGCCTAGCTAGATCCATTGCATTGCTTCCCGGCTTGTTTCTCCAACAGCCCCCTATTAAGCTAGACTAATACATTCATACGGGAAATTCTGTTAAACCAATCTAACTATATAGAACCTTATGTTGCCGACCAGGACCCAGACATTATTCATATAATGATTACATAGCACCTCCATATCTTCTACACTGAACCCACGCAGAACTGCACAGAGAGGATTTGAGTTTGTGTCATGCAACAAAGAGCATAATTACACATTGTTACTTAAACAGTGGTCTGCATCATCGCTAGTCTCCAGTTAGAATTGGTGTTAAGCAGCAGAATTTAGAGTATCTGCATGGTACAAACATTTTAAGTTTACATGTATGTGAACCTCGAAGCAAAACACGTGGATCAATTTTGAAAAGCCTTATGAGTGTTATCTGCAGCAAGTATGCAAATCTGGCAACATAGATTGTAAAATTTACATTTAATCTCACAGCTAAGTCCAATAGTTAAAAGAAAATATTATTAGTTGTAATTATTTATATTAAGGTAGCACTTTAAGGCCCCAGTCAGGACTGGGGACCCATGATGCTGGGTGCTGTACAAATAGAAAAGAGACTAATTCCTACCCGAAGGGCTTACAATGTAAAGAGCTTTCAAGGTGAAGAGCTAAAACAATAAAATCAGTAGCCAAACATTTTGATTCGGTGCTTTCTCAGGTTTCAGAGTAGCAGCCATGTTAGTCTGTATTTGCAAAAAGAAAAGGAGTACTTGGGGCACCTTAGAGATGAACAAATTTATTTGAGCATAAGCTTTCGTGAGCTACAGCTCACTTTATTGGCTGCACTCAGTGGAAAATACAGTGGCGAGATTTATATACATAGAAAACATGAAACAATGGGTGTTACCATACACACTGTAACGAGAGTGATCACTTAAGGTGAGCTATTACCAGCAGGAGAGCGGGGGGGAGGGGGGAACACCGGGAGGGGACCTTTTGTAGTGATAATCAAGCATTTCCAGCAGTTGACAAGAATGTCTGAGGAACGTGGGTGGGGGGGGGAAAATAGTTTTACTTTGTGTAATGGCCCATCCACTCCCAGTCTCTATTCAAGCCTAAGTTAATTGTATCCAGTTTGCAAATTAATTCCAATTCAGCAGTCTCTCTTTGGAGTCTGTTTTTGAAGTTTTTTTGTTGAAGAATTGCAACTTTTAGGTCTGTAATCGAGTGACCCAAGAGATTGAAGTGTTCTCCAACTGGTTTATGAATGTTATAATTCTTGACGTCTGATTTGTGTCCATTTATTTTTTTACGTAGAGACTGTCCAGTTTGACCAATGTACACGGCGGAGGAGCATTGCTGGCACATGATGGCATATATCACATTGGTAGATGTGCAGGTGAACGAGTCTCTGATTGTGTGGCTGATGTGATTAGGCCCTATGATGATGTCCCCTGAATAGATATGTGGACACAGTTGGCAACGGGCTTTGTTGCAAGGATAGGTTCCTGGGTTAGCGGTTCTGTTGTGTGGTGTGTGGTTGCTGGTGAGTATTTGCTTCAGGTTGGGGGGCTGTCTGTAAGCAATGACTGGCCTTTCCCCCAGGGTCTGGGAGAGTGATGGGTCGTCCTTTAAGATAGGTTGTAGATCCTTGATGATGCGTTCGAGAGGTTTTAGTTGGGGACTGAAGGTGATGGCTAGTGGCGTTCTGTCATTTTCTTTGTTGGGCCTGTCCTGTAGTAGGTGACTTCTGGGTACTCTTCTGGCTCTGTCAATCTGTTTCTTCACTTCAACAGGTGGGTATTGTAGTCGTAAGAATGCTTGATAGAGATCTTGTAGGTGTTTATCTCTGTCTGAGGGGTTAGAGCAAATGCGGTTGTATTGTAGAGCTTGGCTGTAGACAATGGATCGTGTGGTGTGGTCTGGATGAAAGCTGGAGGCATGTAGGTAGGAATAGCGGTCAGTAGGTTTCCAGTATAGGGTGGTGTTTATGTGACCATCGCTTATTAGCACCGTAGTGTCCAGGAAGTGGATCTCTTGTGTTGACTGGTCCAGGCTGACGTTTACGGTGGGATGGAAATTGTTGAAATCATGGTGGAATTCCTCAAGGGTTTCTTTTCCATGGGTCCAGACGATGAAGATGTCATCAATGTAGCGCAAGTAGAGCAGGGGCATTAGGGGACAAGAGCTGAGGAAGCGTTGTTCTAAGTCAGCCTTAAAAATGCTGGCATACTGTGGGGCCATCTGGGTACCCATAGCAGTGCCACTGATTTGAAGGTATACATTGCCCCCAAATGTGAAATAATTATGGGTGAGGACAAAGTTCAGCCACCAGGTTTGCCATGACTTTATCGGCAATACTGTTCCTGACGGCTTGTAGTCCATCTTTGTGTGGAATGTTGGTGTAGAGGGCTTCTACATCCATAGTGGCCAGGATAGTGTTTTCAGGAAGATCACCGATGGATTGTAGTTTCCTCAGGAAGTAAGTGGTGTCTCGAAGATAGCTGGGAGTGCTGGTAGCATAGGGCCTGAGGAGGGAGTCTACATAGCCAGACAATCCTGCTGTCAGGGTGCCAATGCCTGAGATGATGGGGAGTCCAGGATTCCAGGTTTTTGGATCTTGGGTAGGAGATAGAATACCCCAGGTCGGGGTTCCAGGGGTGTGTCTGTGCGGATTTGTGCTTGTGCTTTTTCAGGGAGTTTCTTGAGCAAATGCTGTAGTTTCTTTTGGTAACCCTCAGTGGGATCAGAGGGTAATGGTTTGTAGAAAGTGATGTTGGAGAGCTGCCTAGCAGCATCTTGTTCATACTCCGACCTATTCATGATGACGACAGCACCTCCTTTGTCAGCCTTTTTGATTATGATGTCAGAGTTGTTTCTGAGGCTGTGGATGGCATTGTGTTCTGCACGGCTGAGGTTATGGGGCAAGTGATGCTGCTTTTCCACAATTTCAGCCTGTGCACGTTGGCGGAACCACTCTATGTAGAAGTCCAGTCTGTTGTTTCGACCTTCAGGAGGAGTCCACCCAGAATCCTTCTTTTTGTAATATTGGTAGGAAGGTCTCTGTGGGTTAGTATGTTGTTCAGAGGTGTGTTGGAAATATTCCTTGAGTCGGAGACGTTGAAAATAGGATTCTAGGTCACCACAGAACTGTATAATGTTTGTGGGAGTGGAGGGGCAGAAAGAGAATAAACAACTTGCTTGAAGTTACTGAGCAAGTCAGTTTCAGTACTGAGAGTAAAACTCAGATCTCTTGATTCCCAGTGTCATGCTATAGCAAAAAAAGCCATACCATTTACTGAGTCCAGCCTCAATCCAGAGCACCTTGTAGCATCTTGATATGGGATATATTAACTATTAAGAGCATAGGTGCTTAAATTAGTGCTTGTTGGCCTTCTTTGGCAGAATGTACTTAAACACAAATGGTGAATACATCAACCATTGTCTATGCAAATTTTAGCTTTGAAATAGTGGAAACTGTCTAACTTTCCCTTCAATTTTTTGTGACTTGAGACCATCTTACCTCTGCTGCAAAATGCCTCCCACTGACTGTGTGCTCCGAGCCTTCTGGCTTGTTCCTGTTTCCCCAGTGTAGGTGAAGCTGAGTTGCAGTGTATTGGAAAGGGAGCTTTCTGATGTGCATGGTAGGAAACAGGCTCATTCTTACTGCAAGTAGACCAAAAATATGGGAGAAGATTATATTGCTGTGTTGACGCATTTGGTGCACAGAACTAGTGTGTCTGGCTTTATCAGATACAGAGAATTAGAATAGCAGAATAAACCATTCAGGTTCTTAACCCAGAATCCAGCACATGCCAACGTTATAGTATCTGGATGATGATCATTTTTAGCAGTCTTTGGAACTTTCCATGCAATTCAAGGGAGTCTTGAACATTTTCCCCCTATATTCTTGTAGAATGTAATACATGGAATGTGAATTGAATGGGAGAGTTGTGATCTCTCTGTCTGTACTGGAATTTTCTCCCTTCCCTGAATTCTGCTAACCCATCATAAGCTTATGAAAGGGGATCTCTGAAGCAAAACAACATTTTTTAGCCTTTTTCTGCTCTTTTGTGACATATAAAGATGGCTTAATAAACTAATATTTCCCCCAGATTTAAATAAGTATTTTGTTAACATTTGACATTAGGTTCTTCTCTCCCTCTCCTTACTTGAGAGCCTTGTTATGAACCTTAAGAGTGATGTCAAGAAAAGCTACAGCCACAAACTTAAGAATCATCATTCTTCTCCCTTCAGCTTGATGGAGGGAATTCTGCAGCTCAGGTTACAGCCTGGCGTAACATTCCTAAGGTCCTCCAGCAAAGAAGGGGAAGGGAGAGGTTGTGTTCTTTCTTGTGTAGAATTAAAATTAGAAAAGAAACTGTATGTAGGCTTTCGTTTTTTTATCATTAAACTTTGACAACTTCTGAACATCATAAAGAACTGTAAAAGATGCCCCTTTCTTTGCAGTTCACTTTGAGGTGACTTCCAGAAGGGTAATGTTTTGTCCCTGGAATGCCCCAGATTTGGAACAAAACGTGCATTTCACACTTTTTCCAGAGGAAGACATCTCTGGAGCCTCTACAAAGGACCATCGCTCAACACATGAATTATTCAGCTGGTGTTAAAGAGCTTTTCCTTGTGCTCCAGTGTTTTAAATCTAATTTAAGTAGATAACTGTATCTAGGGGAACCAGTTACGAAGCACTCTAATTATATGTAAGAATTAATATGACACCACAGTGCTTTACAGGCCATTGAATAGGTTTGTGGACATAAGGGACTATAACAGCATGTGCTATAATGATGTTCTCCACAACAGAGACTGAATTTTTTATTACGCAAAGCAATTTAGGGTTTCTGTTTGAGTGCTGGTTCCAGACAACTAGCTCTCCTTGTCCTTTATTGTTCACCACTTTAGAGCCACTTGGTTTGGGGGAACAGGGGGAGACCAGAGGTCAGACCTTAGAAGGTTTGGTCTTACCTAAAGAATGGACTCATGATAAGAATGGCCATAGTGCATCAGACCAAAAGTCTATCTGGCTCAATATTCTGTCTTCCGACAGGTTTCAAAGGGGTAGCCATGTTAGTCTGTATCAGCAAAAACAACGAGGAGTCCTTGTGGCACCTTAGAGACTAATAAATTTACAGTGAACAGTCCCAGATGTTTCAGAGGGAGTGAACAGAACAAGGTAATTTATCAAGTGCTCCATCCACAGTTGTCCAGTCCCAGCTTCAAGCAGTCAGAGGTTTAGAGCATGGGGTTGCATCCCTGGCCATCTTGGCTAATAGCCATTGATGGACCTATCCTCCATGAACTTATTTAATTCTTTTTTTTTTTTTAAACCCAGTTATACTTTAGACCTTTACAGCATTCCCTGGCAACAAGTTCCACAGGTTGACTGTCTGTTGTGTGAAGTACTTCCTTATGTTAGTTTTAATTCTGCTGCCTATTCATTTCATTGGGTGATTCTGGTTCTTGTGTAGAATTCCCTATTCTTCCTTATTCACTTTCTCCACACCATTTATGATTTTTACAGACCTCGTATCATATCCCCCCTCAGTCTCTTTTCCAAGTTGAACAGTCCCACTCTTTTAAATCTCTCCTTATATGGAAGCTGTTCAGAGGTGCTTAATGACTTCTTTGTTTCCGTTTTCACCAAGAAGGTTGGTAGCTATTGGACGTCTAACATAGTGAATGCCTGTGAAAATGAGGTAGGATCAGAGTCTAAAATAAGGAAAGAACAACTCAAAAATTACTTAAACAAGTGAGATGTCTTCAAATCACCAGGACCTGATGAAAGGCATCCTAGAATACTCAAGGAGCTTATTGAGGAGGTATCTAAGCCATTAGCAATTATCTTTGAAAAGTCATGGAAGATGGGAGAGATTCCAGAAGACTTGAAAAGGCCAAATATAGTGTCCATCTACAAAAAGGGAAATAAGGACAACCTGGGGAATTACAGACCAGTCAGCTTCACTTCTGTATCCGGAAAGATAATGGAGCAAATAATTAAGCAGTCAATTTGCAAACATCTAGAAGATAATAAGATGATAAATAACAGTCAGCATGGATTTGTCAAGAACAAATTGTATCAAACCAACCTGATAGCTTTCTTTGACAGGGAAACAAGCCTTGTGGATGGGGGAAGTGGTAGATGTGGTATATCTTGACTTTAGTAAGGCTTTTGATACTGTCTCGCATGACCTTCTTGTAAACAAACTAGGGAAATGCAACCTAGATGGAGCTACTATAAGGTGGGTGCATAACTGGTTGGAAAATTGTTCCCAGAGAGTAGTTATCAATGGTTCACAGTCATGCTGGATGAAATTCAATAAGGACAAATGCAAAGTACTCCACTTAGGAAGGACCAATCAGTTGCACACATACAAAATGGGAAATGACTGCCTGGGAAGGAGTACTGCAGAAAGGGATCTGGGGGTTGTAGTGGATCACAAGCTAAATATGAGTTAAAAGTGTAACACTGTTGTAAAAAAAGCAGACATCACTCTGGGATGTATTAGCAGGAGTATTGTAAGCAAGATATGAGAAGTAATTCTTCTGCTCTCACTGATTACACCTCAACTGGAGTATTGTGTCCAGTTCTGGGTGCCACATTTCAGGAAAGATGTGGAAAATTGGAGAAAGTCCAGAGAAAAGTAACAAAAATGATTAAAGGTCTAGAAAATATGATTTATGAGGGAAGATTGAAAAAAATTGGGTTTGTTTAGTCTGGAGAAGAGATGACCGAGAGGGGACATGATAACAGTTTTCAAGTACATAAAAAGTTGTTACAAGGACGAGGAAGAAAAATTGTTCTTAACCTCTGAGGATAGGACAAGAAGCAATGGGCTTAAATTGCAGCAAGGGTGGTTTAGGTTGGACATTAGGTAAAACTTCCTGCTGTCAGAATGGTTAAGCACTGGAATAAATTGCCTAGGGTAGTGGTGGAATCTCCATCATTGGTGATTTTTAAGAGCAGGTTGGTCAAACACCTGTCAGGGATGGTCTAGATAATACTTAGTCCTGCCTTGAGTGCAGGGGACTGGACTAGATGACCTCTTGAGGTCCCTTCCAGTTCTATGATTCTATACCTGTAATAATTTTTGTTGCCCTTCTGTGTACTTTTTCCAATTCTAATATATCTTTTTGGAGACTGGATCAGAATTGCGCAGCGTATTCAAGGTGTGGGCACACCATGGGATTTACATAGTGGCATTATGATATTTTCTGTCTTATCTATCCCTTTCCTCATGGTTCCTAACATTCCATTAGCTTTTTTGACTGCTGTTGCACATTGAGCGTCTGTTTTCAGAAAACTATCCCCGATACTCCAAGATATCTTTCTTGAGTGATAATCGCAAATTTAGACCCCATCATTTTGTATGTATATTTGGGATTATGTTTTGCAGTGTGCATTACTTTGCATTTAACAACACTGAATTTCATCTGCCATTTTGTTGCCCAGTCACCCAATTTTGTGAGATCCCTTTGTAACTGTTCACAGTCTGCTCTGGATTTAACTGTCCTGAGTAATTTTGTATCATGTGCAAACTTTGCCACCTCACTATTTACCCCTTTTTCAAGGTCATTTATGAATATGTTGAACAGAATTGGTCCCAGTACAGGTCCTTGGGGGACCTGGCTATTTACTGGTATGGTACAGAGCATGTTTATCCCACAGAAACAGTGAAAAAAGAGAGACTTGCCTGTCAAGCTCCTTTTAACAAAGCATGCTAGGAAGGGAGAAGTCTGAGGTATTTTATAATGCAGGGTTTTTTGATGCCTCGGCAGTACTGGGGAAAGATGTGCTGCAGGAGAGCCTTGCTGCTGTTCTCGTTTGTAAGTCTCTAACTCGTTTCTAGAAAAATTTGTGGGGAACTGGCTTATAAGTATTCTACTTTGTGGTGTTGAAATATTCTGGAGTTTTAAGAGACTGCTTCTGTTCTCATCCCTGTTGTTGTTGGTAGGGTATCTTGCCTTAATGCTACAGTGGAGGGCACTAGGCGTGTGTGTAAGCTGATCCTAATGGTTATATATGTCTTTCTCAAAAAGAAAAGGAGTACTTGTGGCACCTTAGAGACTAACCAATTTATTTGAGCATGAGCTTCCGTGAGCTACAGCTCACTTCATCTCACACTTAAGGAAGTTCTCTGTCTTCATTCAAGTAGTAGAGGCGTTTGCTGAAACTCCCAGGTTTGCTTGATTTTGTCTTAAATTCAGTGAATCACTTTTTATCTTTCCAGTTGATTACAATATCTATTAAGGGTGACTTCATCCAGATTTACTGACTTTTCTCTTCTTTCTAAACAAAGCTGCAAATTCTGTTCCTATTTCTGAGTATTTTAACCAAATTAATAAGAAAAACTTTTCACAAGCGTAAGTTAATCTAAAGTGCCACAGCTATATTTACACTGATGTGTGTTTTATAATTACAAGTTTCTTTAGATAGTTATTGAAGATGTTTGTATTCTACTGCAAGAGCTTGGTCCATCACAGCCAATAATGTAAGAAATTAAATATAAGTCCAATAACTCTTTCTTTCAAATTCTCTTGCTGCACATTTGGTTTCCTTACCTGAATGACCATTATTGGTCAACATAAAGTGGTCAGTGGAGGACACATTGTAGCCTACAAGCTCTAAAGGTAAGAGAGTGGTATCATATTGGAGAATATCATTATGAAAATCTATTGGAGACTGGAACATTCCTCCACAAAATGGATACTTCTTGGGCCAAGTTTTCTCTCCATCAGGACCTGAGAATGTTAACAGAAGAGACAGGTTTAACAATCTTTGTTGTCGTCTTCATTGGTACTTTTCCTACACACTAGTAACAACTGGTTTGGATAATATAAGAACTCCCCTTGTTTTCCCTGAATATTCACCCAAAACCCAGAACAGAATCTGACTCTCCTTTTCTTGATTTAAAATGTCTTGTCATTTTGTGCTGTAGCCAGGCAATTTCACTGACACTTTTAAAAGAAATGTTAAAAATGTTGATTTGGTAGTTAATGGTGCTGCTTTGGTGAATAAAATCACTTACATACATGTTGGCAAGTTTGGGCCCTAACAGAGTATATTTTTACCAGATATGTTATGTTTTAATTTTCTCCACTTTAGTGTCCACCCACTGAATCTTTTTATACCTTTATCTGCTAAATTGAAGAGCCCTCTATTACCAAATTTCTGTTCCCCATATAGGTACTTATAGACTGTGAATAAATTACATCTGAATCCTCTCTTTGTTAAGCTAAACAGAGTGAGCTGCTTGACTGTCACTGTAAAACATGATTTTCAATACTTTAATCATTCTCGTGGCTCTTCTCTGATCCCTGACCAATTTACCAGCATCCTTCTTGAACTGTGGGTGCCAGAATCTAACCTAGGTTAGAACATTGATGTCAAAACTAGTTCAAATATTTTAAAAAGGAAAACTAATGAATATGAAAATTATTGATAGATGCTAGTGTTGTTAAGGTTCAATGATCTGGGAGCTTGTCTTCCATAAATATAATCTAAACTGGATCTCACTTAGTGCTGGAGTAGCTTCTATTTTAGCTTCCATTTCACTGCAAATCACTTTGATTCTTTATCTCCCAGATTTTCATGGCATATCTTAAACAGCATTTAAATTCTCTTTAGTGGATTTGAGAACTAATAAATGGTGCACTGAAACTGTTGAAAGATGAATGCTGTCCATCTTGCATATGTTTTAGGAAAACACTGACCCATTCATCAGAACATAGAACAGAAATCTGAATGATGTACTATTTGTTTTGGCACTGGGTTATGGGATACACACATTTTGAGGACATAACCCAGCTCATCTGGAAATGAGATTAATTGGCCCCTTGAGGTTGAGACGTGATGTGCAAGTCTTTATTAAGCTTTAGTGCAAGAAGTGAAAGCTGTATTTCAACTTTTGTTAGATTTGACAGTGGCAAATACACTACAAAATCTGTTTAGTTTGTCTCCTTCCCCCAAATGTATGACATCAACTAAAGCACCTACACCAATTTTGTCCTCAAGTGCCATCCCTTTCACTTCAATATGAGTTCTTTTAGTCTAACAAAGTAGAATTCAGCCCTTTCTATCTTATTCATGCATTTCAGATGGCATGGGCCTGATCCTGTAGTCACTATTCAGAAAAAACTTCCAGGGTTCTCCCTGGCCTCTACACTACAAAACTTCATACCTGTTTTCCAACACCAGTGCAGCTGTAGTTTCATGACTGACAGGGTGTACCAGGCATTTGTTGGTTTCTGCCGGAGGCCCTACCACCTTGGTGCACCCTGCCTGAAGGAGGTGTCCTTTTGGGGAAGAAGAGCACCAAGTTTAGTCCTTCGTGAGCGGCCTAGAGAGGTCACCAAGGATCAGTTACAGGTGGAACCAATGAAAATCAGTTCTCCAGCAGCTAGATGGGCTAGGACCAGGCAGCAGTCAGTTAGGGCTCAGCAGGCAGGATAAAAAGGGATGTCTGCTTCCTTGAATCAGGGGCTAGATTTCTGTGTGGAGCTGGGACAGAGGAGGAAGGGTTGCCCCAGTCTTAACCCAAGAAGCCCAGCCGAAACTCTGACTGCACCTTGTTAAGGTTTGGGTTTCCAGGAAGACATTAATATCTTGTACCAAAAAGATTATGGCAGTCGCGTGATTGCTAAATGGCTAGCCTTTAAAGATTAGTAAAACAAAAATCTGACTTCAGCCATTGGAAACCACATCATGAAGTGCAATACACTTTTTCAGACCTACTTTTTTGGAGAGATTGGGTGACTGGGGATTAGTAACAGGTCAGCAGTTGAGATTGGAGGTCATGTTTCATCTTGTAAAATATGCCAATTACTGAGGTTTTTAGGCACATCAATGACATCAGGGTGGATGTGCACATTTCTGGTAAGCAAAGAGAATGACAGCCAATGGGGATTAAACTACAGAGATTCTTGTCCGTTTCCCCACACCAGCTTCAACTTGTTTCCTTGCCCATAACCAGTTTTTCCAGGCATTGCAGGAACCCTGCATATTGTCATGTAGCATTCCTTGTTTTAGTGCACCAGAACTCACTTGAAAGAGCTGGACTCTTGTCTCACTTTGTTTGCGGTTATGAAATTAAGGTTTCCTTAGCAGATAAGCAATCGCGCTCGAAGGCACTTTTTAATTAACTCAGCTGTAACAGATTCTGTGTGAAACAGAGTTTGCCTTTGGGAGCCAGATTGAACCCTGGCATATATGGGGGAAGTCACTGGAAGCTATGCCTGCATGCAGTAGGTTCAGTCCAACTCGCTATTGCATAAGGGACATCAGGGATGGACTCAAGGAATGAGTGATAGGTTTACATGGTATTTAAATGCCAGACATTGCAGAACAGCTCTATTGTTTTAGTGCTCTTCCTTCTGGTGCAATGAGTATGAAGAGTGGGTAGCAACAGAGTGGGAATGGATTGCTATGGAAATAGGAGTCCTATGTTGCAGAACAAGGGCCAGATTCAGAGGTAAATCTAGGGAGCCTGTATTGGAACTTACCCTTTCTTCCAGATCCTCTCAACATGTATGTTGCTTAAACTTAAACTGACTTAGCGCTTGTCTACAGCAAAAAAAAAAAAAAATCTTATGTTTGAAAATGGAGAGCCCTCAAATTAGATGACATGCTGTCCAGGGCTTTGCAGTCACGGTGGACCAGCACAAGCGGTGCTTGGCAGCGTCTCCTAACACTGCCAATTGTGTTCAAATGTAAGATTCTATAACGTGGGCAAGGCCCCCAGAAGGCCTAGTGTGACTTACTTAAATCTGCTCAGGTTCAGGCCCATTTGTACACACAACCCTTACACATCACTTCCGAGTTTAGTCCACTGCTCAAGGGTGTCTGTAACTCTCAGTGAGCACTGGAGAAGATAGGAGCAGGGAAAGAAAAGCAACTAACAGCAGAGAGTAAGAAGTTGCAATATAAGGTAGATAGGGCCAGATTAAGGCATAGGCACTATTGGCTCGTGTTGAGAGCCCCAGCTCCTGGGGTCGTGCTATTACAGTAAAATTGTAGTTTTCCAAATAGAAAGTTTCTAGCCCTCATAGTCGTGAAGAAAACTTCAAAACATGACAAGTGTAATCAGTGTAGCGACAGCTGCAGCCAAACGATAGCTCAGGAGGAGTGAGCTGTCCCATGCATCTCAACGGGTGACCATCCACAAGTCACTGCTCCCTACCTATGATATGATATATACTATGATAGGAGAGGAATCTGGGTGTGGAAAAAGAGTGCAGTGATCCTGGACCACTCACCCTAAAACATACCTCATCTACCAGAGGAAGGAGGCCCCTTGCTGCTGCCTCTGCCTCTCTGGGAGGAGAAGGGACCACTGCCTCCACCATTCCAGGTGCTGGAGGATGAGGCCAGGGGTTGTCCCTGTCATGGTGTCTTTAGGACCCCAGATTACTGTAGACCATCTGCCCTGTAGATCACCTCATGTTCTAATGTGCAACTTCTAGCTCCTGATCACGCACTCCCGCACACGGTGTAAGTAGTCCTGAGTGAGTGAGTGTAAGGAAATCTGACTTTGCCCTCGTGGCTGCATTACAAGAGAAGCTTGTAAGTAAAATATTATGATTAATAAAAATTACTTGAAACTATACCAATGCACAGCTTTGTAATGAGCTGAGCAACTCACCCCAAAACCAGGACTGCATGTTGGGGTTTTTCCATCTCCCTGCCCCCACCTTGTGACCTGCATGCATACAATTGTAGCAAGCATTGTTGTCATTGGGCCACCCAGGATAGGAGCTGGAAGATGAATGCTAGTGTTCTCTGCTTTAGAGAAGTGAATGGTTTCTTCGGTATAGCAGGAGGGACTGCAGTTCATGAGACTGAAAACAGTACTAACATATATCCATGGAAATATCTCCAACAAGTGTTTGTACTAATAGCTGATTAGTATTTGGATTATTCAGTCCTTTTACTAGGGTAGTGTGGTGTAAAATGAGACCCAAGAAGCCAAGTGGCAGTCACAAATGTGGTAACATTCAGAAGCTCAGTGATCGGCATTATCTAGAGAAACCTGTTAAGTGGTCATCTTGGGGAGCTGCCAAAAACAGCATTTAACTAAAAGCCTAACAATTGTGCTGGAAACTTTAGGGATATTCTAATGTCATCAAAGTTGCACGTTTCCCACTTGAGGTGAGAGTTCTTAGCACAGGCTTCTGTGCATCTTGCTGAACTGAAGTAAACATATGGCAACAATAAAACTAAAGATTGTTCAGCTTTAATTAGAGTGTTGTTCATTTATGACACGTAAGTCATAAATTGCAGTGGTACCCACTTCCCCTCCATGTAGATGCACCGTCCCCTCACACACATCCTACACTCAGTGCCAGGTTTACAATACCGCCAGTGTCGCCATGGAGCTGTGCCCATGCTCAGAAGGAGCCCTGGCCTGTTCCGCTTGCACTGTGCCCTGAGACCTCACCAGCTCACAGGCTCCCCCCTGCTCACCACTTGCTCCTCTCGGCCTACCCGCTGGCTGGCTGAGGGCTCCTCTCCACCTCTTGACCCCACCTGCCAGCTTCTCTCTGCCTCCCAGCCGGACGCCAGTGCACCTCTGGCTCCTGGCAATCTCTGCTTCCCACCACCTGTGCGGCCCCACCTGTCTCCCTGGAGCTGCCTGGGACTGGTGCAGAAGCCTGGCCAGTCTTGGCCAGTTGTGGGGGCTTGGCTGGGCCCCTCCAGGCGAATGGGTCCTGAGAGAGCCTGACTAGGGCAGGCCCTGGCCTGGCTGATCGTGCCACTCCCGAGGGGCTGGAGCAAGTCCCCGTCCCGGGACCAGCGCTGGCTACACTGGCGGCTCAGCCTGGCAGACGCAGTTGCCTCCCAGAGGGCTGGTAAGTGCAGCTGGGAAGGGTTTCTGGAGGGCCAGGGGGTGGTGCTGGGCTGTGAGTGGGTAGGGAAGATCTCTGTGTGTTGGGGCACTAGGGAGTGGGGGTTCTGTGTGGGGTGCTGGGCAGTTGTGGTGGGGCTGTGTGCAGGGGGGCACTGGGCAGGGGTGGTGTGCAGGGCGTTGTGCATTTGTGGCAGGGTCTGGGAGGGTCTGGACTTAGCAGGTCCAGGGGAGCTCTGGCCATAGGGAATTTGGGGGGTGTTGGGTGTGGGGGGAGGATTTGTGGTGCAGCTCTCGCGCGCTGGGCTGGGCGGATCAGGGCCACCCCTGCCATGCCATGCCCCTGGCTGGCCCCTCGCTCTGGGGACCAACACTCCCCTCTCCCACACTATGCTCCATTGTCCCCATGGGGGCCCATAAATATGTTTGGCGCCGGGCCCTCAAAAGGTTAATCCGGCCCTGCCTACACTAAAGTGCATTAATAGCCTTGCTAGGATTCTTCTTTAATACTCTGGTGGAACACCAGCTAACTTTCTGTATTCTAGCCAGCTGTCCATCTTAAAGTAGTAATTCTGTATGTTCAATTTATATCCAGTATTCCTGTATTAAGGAGGCAGAGGGCCAGCATACAAAGAGCACTGGGTCAATTGACTTTCAGCTTCTAATGAGGAGTTGCAGAAGAATTGAAACAGTCACTTAAACCGTGGCCAGACTGAACTGCTGACAAAGGGGACCTATAAAAAACACCTCTTTCTAGGGCTGGGGATGGAAACTGTCACTGATTAAATCAGCCCTGTAATTCCAGTTTTCTAGCTGAAGTTGAAATCATTTTTGTAGCTCACACTTCTAGTTCTTCTCTTAACTCTCTGACCTTTACCATGGAAAGAGAAGGGGTCAAGGAAAGGCAAACACATCAGCACTAATAGGAAATGGTTTTTGGATAGTAAGGCTTAATCTGTATAGCAGAGAGAAACACAAATTTGTTACTCAAATCAGTCTATCCCTAGCTTCAGACCTCAATGTTGTGTAAAACTGGCCATTCTTGGGACTCTTAGGTCTGGTTATGCAAAGTGTTGGGCAGTGCAGAAGCCCAGTAGGACTAGGGCCAGGAAAGTGACAGGGTATGTCTACATTGCAATTAGACACCCATGGAGGCCTGTGCCAGCTGACTTGGGCTGGCAGGGCTGCAGGGCTATTTAACTGTGGTGTAGATGTTCAGGCTCAGGCTGTAGCCTGAACTCTGGGACCCTCCCACCTCACAGGATCCTAGAGCCCAGGCTCCAACCTGAGCTTGAACATCTACACGCAATTAAACAGTCCCTGAGCCCAAGCCCAAGTCAGCTGGCATGGTCAGCTGCGGGTTTTTAATTGCATTGTAGACATATCCTCTGTGTATGTAACAAAGGATATGTCTACACAGCTGATGTTGAAGTGCTGCCGTGGCTGTGATAAAACCACGTGGCTGTAATAAAACCACCTCCACGACGGGAACAGCTGCCAGCGGTGTAGCACTCTCTACACTGCCACTTTATAGAGCTTAAACTTGCATTGCTCAGGGGGGGTGTTTTTTCACACCCCTGAGAGAAGAAAGTTGCAGTGTAGAGAAGGCCAAAGGCACATGGTTTCTCAGCACATCTGTTCCCTGGCCAGACCATGGCAGACATCTGTGCAGGACCAAAAGAGGAAGGAAGGTACCAGGAATCTATCTCTGTCCTTCGGCTCCCCTGCACATGGGTGAGAACAATAGCTCCCTCTTAACATCATCTGCAGGGACCAGTCACCACAAAGAAGTGTGTCATTAAGTATTATTATGACCCCTTTACTGATGGGGAACTCTCTGAGGTGCAGTAACTTGCCAAAGGTCACAGAGCAGACCAGAGGCAGAGCTGGGAGTGGAACATAGGTCCCAGTCCCAGTTCAGTATGTGATCCATTCAGCCGAACTGGTTCCTACACAAAGAGGCACGTTCTGCTCTCACACGGTATACCATTCTTAATGATGTCGAACAGTACACAGTTGAGCTACACTTTTATATGAGAACAGTGCAGATAGTGGAACAGTTTCTCCTTTAAGGATACTGTATAAAATACAGCAGGTTCCATTTGTATCCAAGACAAGTACTTAGTTCTGTCAGGTTCACGGTTTGTTCTGGAAAGTAATGCTTTGTCAAATGCAATGGTATCCTGTGATACAGCCCTGGGCTCTAATGTCACGAGTGGTGTAGCAACGTCAGCGTTCAGTCCCATCCAGTGTTCATTTAACAAACAGTGATTCTGGTCACTAATAGCAGCCCTAGCTCTAGCATTGCTCAAGAATCTCATGGGTTTTTCCCTTGCCCCTATAACTGCGTGCTCATCTCCATCACCACGAGTGGGTATAATGCCACTGTTTTCCTTTCACTTGCTTCTGTCTTCATTTTAGTGTCTGACATCGCATAGTGAAAGGCGATAGGGTGACGGAGGTGGAGAGAGATGACTTCCAGCACACAGAAGACATGCTTTACTGTTTTGATGCATCCGATGAAGTGAGCTGTAGCTCACGAAAGCTTATGCTCAAATAAATTTGTTAGCCTCTAAGGTGCCACAAGTACTCCTTTTCTTTTTGCGAATACAGACTAACACGGCTGCTACTCCGTTTTGATGTGGGTCACATAGATACGGTGTTGTTTTCCATACAACCCAGTAAGCAGTGTTCTAACCAGGTTTTACTGCAGTTGCATTCAAATTAAATTTCATCACAAATTAAAGTTTCTATTCCAATATTCTATTCTAATCCCAGTCTTTAAAATTGGTTTTACAATGCCATCTTTACTCTAAAATAAAAAGTCATTAGATTAATAACGTTTTAAAAATATCTTTAGCTTGGAAATTCTCCTCCAGTATGTGTTAGGGATTGGACTGGAGAATAAGAGGTGTTGTCCACAGCCCTACAGGGAGACTTGTAAAAGATATGGAGACAGCACCTTCGGCGAACCTCTGCAGTTCCATGGGATAACTTCATGCTGCTGCAGTTCTTGACATTTTGCAGGTTAACACAGATCCCTCTAGCTGGCACTTGTTAGTATTGCTAAGCAATCCTTCCTGGTGCTGAACATTGACATCTAAGTAGGAGGTTTCTAGATAATGGGCCCAGGTCAATCCTGGTATAACTACACTGATTCCAGTGTGGTGTTGCCAGGTTGAATTTGGCCTGTTCTCCTTAAAAGTACAAAATACAGAATTAAATTTCAGAGTATGAATTAAAATCACTACTTACCAATGTAAGACCACTTAGATCCTGTTTAAAAAAAAAACAAATACAGCTGTGAATATGTGAAATTGAGGTTATTCTATATAGTGTCAAAAAAGCAAACTGAGATTTTAAAACTCAGCTGGTGAATTTTACAGTACTTAACTGTCTTCTGATTTCAGCTGTCTAGTACAAGCAGGCCAGGTTTCACAGATTATTAAAGACTGAACTCATGTACTGTCAGTCACAATGCTCCCTGTGCTCCTGCCCACAGAGCTAGAGAATCTGTTAGTTATTTGAGTCCTTGGCAAAGGCAGTGTTTCTTAGTGGATAGACCCTTTGTTGGGTGCTCATGAGACCTGGGTTCTATTCCCAGCTCTGCCACTGGCCTCCTGGGGGACCTTGGGCAAGTCACTGTCCCCCTTCTGTGCCTCAGTTTCCCTAACTGTAAACTGGGGATAATGATGCTGCCCTCTATTGTAAAGCACTTTGAGAGCTACAGTTGAAAAGTGCTAAATAGGGGCTAGGATGGATGGATGGATTGATTTTATTAATTACCTCTCTAGAGCGAAATTTGTTTGAATGGCAAGAGACAACACATAAAAATCAGCTCTTCTCTCTGGCTGGTACAATGTGAAGCATAAATGGGCAGGCATGTGGTTGTCATTTAAGGTCACATGCATAGTTCAGATGGTTGAAGCACACCTGCAGCAAGCAAAATGTTGATTGTCAACTGCCAAAGTGAGAGACAAAAGGAAGTCCTTTCTGCAGAATCATTCTGGGTATTCACTATGTGATGCTTGTAGGAAATGGCTGTGGTTTGTTAGGAGACAGTGTAAAGGCCTCTTCCTGTGAAGTGTGAGACCATGACTTGGTGGCTACCGTTTGCTTATTTGTTAAAATAGTCAATAGGATAAATTAATTCTTTACATTGGGGACTGAATTTGGGCCAATATCTTTGCAGGTCACTGGAAGGTCAAGAAGTGTCATCTCTGTAAGAAGCACAGCAATATTTTAAATAGTTGTTGGCTTTTGTTAGCCTGTCAACCTAAGTATCAGAATACACAAACAAAGACAAGGTTCAGAAATAAAATTGGGGAGCATAAATAACTAGCCAGGATTGATTAAAATCTTGAATGTGGTCCATAGTTTGTCAATTTACACAGCTACAGATCACACCAAATATAGCTTTGATATTACTTGCAGCACTGTACTGTAGGTATTCAGATCTGATAGGCACACTCAAAACAAACTGTCACATTTCTTGTTAATGAAATCTCTCTTGCTTCTTCTCAAAGCGGAGGTGACTGGTTAGAGTAAAATTCCATTTAGTCATTCTAGTGTGGGGTGGAAACGTTTCGCACTAAGGAACTGTTCAAATGCTTTTTTTTTTGTATGGGGATCTATTCATATTTTTAAAACTTCAAGCTTTTCCATGGAGTTAGAGCACTTGTCCTCATGAAGGACTGACGTACCTGAAGTAGAATTGGTTCCAAGCTTATGCAAATCTTAAGTAGCCCAAACTTTGGGATATTTAGATCTGTGTTTTCATTTGGAAAAGGAACCTAACTTATGAGAGTCTGACAACTAGCGTGTATGTACATAATAAGTGATTCTTGTCTGACTTTCCAGTGTCCTGAAGTGCAGTTACCTGCATAGCCCTGCACATATACACAGTTTAAATCATCAAGATGAACTAGTAGGGCTCTGCAAAGTAGAGGTACTTAGCTCTTGTGTCCTGATTAGGGGTGGGATTTTCAAAGCAACGTAAGGTTAGGCCTCAAATTCTGTTTCAGTGGTTGTTATGGGGCCCTGGTTCCCTTGTGCTGCAATTTTCAAAGGAGATGCAAACTTCCGCACTGCAAGTAGTAGCTGAGGTAGCAGAATTAATGCACTCTTTCGGACTTTTATTTCAGGCACCTTGTTCTCTCCTCCCCCATCTGTTAAAAATAACATATACCCTGTGAGGGGCCACATACTAGCCAGATACAAGTCTGATAAGACTAGTAAAACTGCTAAACAGGCATTAGAAATCCCACAAGGTTTGATTGGCTTAACTCCAGCAGCTACTTTACACTAGCACGCCCATTGGCGGAGCTAGCCTGGGGTTGGGGGATTTTTCCTTAAACTGTCAGTGCAGTCACAGCTGCAATGCTTACTACGCAGAAATACCAGGTGTTAACTGTCCCATTTCCCTCTGTGGCTGCATCTATAGTGGGAAAATTGACCTCTATAGAGCTAGCTGAAAGATCTTCAGTGGGACCATTTTTCCTCAGAAAGTGCAGTGTGTCAAAATCTAAATGCTTTATGAAATTTTGCTTTGGAACAAAAAGGGATTGAGGGAGAGTTCCAATAATGTCATGAAGTTCCATTCTGGAATGAAAAGTTTTGATTTTTTAAAAACTTTTCTTGGATTTTTTTTTTGTATTTTATGTATTATAAAATTTAAAAAGTCAAAATGAAACATTTTGATTGACTGAAATTGAATTTTTTTTCTGATTTTTTTGTGAGGAGAACTTTGAAATGTTCAGGTTTAATTCCAAATCAGAATGAAAACAAATTTCAAAATCTCAAAATCCTGCTGACTTGAAGGTATAAATTGTCTCCAAATCTGAAATAGTTGTGGGTGAGGACAAAGTCTTGTGTGGACTGGTCCAGGCTGAGGTTGATGTAGAAGCTCCCTACACGAACATTCCACACAAAGATGGACTACAAGCCATCAGGAATAGCATCCCCGATACCATCACTGCAAACCTGGTGGCTGAACTTTGTGACTTTGTCCTCACCCACAACTATTTCAGAATTGGAGACAATTTATACCTTCAAGTCAGTGGGACTGCTATGGGTACCCGCATGGCCCACAGTATGCCAACATTTTTATGGCTGACTTAGAACAACGCTTCCTCAGCTCTTGTCCCCTTACATCCCTACTCTATTTGCACTATATTGATGACATCTTCTTCATCTGGACCCTGGGAAGGAGGCCCTGAGGAATTCCACCAAGATTTCTTCAATTTCCACCCCACCATCAACCTCAGCCTGGACCAGTCCACACAAGAGGTCCACTTCCTAGACACTACAGTGCTAATAAGCGATGGTCACATATACACCATCCTATACCGGAAACCTACTGACCGCTATTCCTACCTACATGCCTCCAGCCTTCATCCAGATCACATTGCACGATCCATTGTCTACAGCCAAGCTCTAAGATTACAACTGCATTTGCTCCAACCCCTCAGACAGAGACAAACACCTAGAGGATCTCTATCAAGCATTCTTAAAACTACAATACACAGCTGTTGAAGTGAAGAAACAGATTGACAGAGCCAGAAGGGTACTCAGAAGTCATCTACTACAAGACAGACCCAACAAAGAAAGTAACAGAATGCCACCAACCATCACCTACAGCCCTCAACTAAAACCTCTCCAACACATCATCAAGGATCTACAACCTATCCTAAAGAACGATCCCTCACTCTCCCAGACCCTGGGGGAAAGGCCAGTTCTTGCTTACAGACGGACCCCCAGCCTGAAGCAAATACTCACCAGCAACTACACACCACACAACAAAAACACCAACCCAGGAACCTATTCTTGCAACAAACCCCGGTGCCAACTCTGTCTACATATATATTCAAGGGACACCATCATAGGACCTAACCACTTCAGCCACACCATCAGGGGCTCGTTCACCTGCTCATCTGCCAATGTGATACATGCCATCATGTGCCAGAAATGCCCCTCTGCCATGCACATTGGCCAAACCGGACAGTCTCTATGCAAAAGAATAAATGGACACAAATCTGACATCAGGAATCATAACATTCAAAAATCAGTCGGAGAACACTTCAATCTCCCTGGTCACTTATTAACAGACCTAAAAGTGGCAATTTTTCAACAAAAAAACTTCAAAAACAGACTCCAATGTGAAACAGCAGAGGTGGAATTAATTTACAAACTGAACACCATCACATTAGGCCTGAATAAAGACTGGGAGAGGTTGGGTCATTACAAAACCTAAACCTAATTTCCCCCTACTGTTACTCACACCTTCTTGTCAATTGTCTGAAATGGGCCACTCTCGTTATCACTTCAAAAGTTATTTTTCCTCCCTTGGTATCCTGCTGTTAATTGAATTGTCTTGTTAGACTGACCTCACACTTGGTAAGGCAGCTCACATCTTTTCATGTATTTATACCTGCTCCTGTATTTTCCACTCCATGGATCTGATGAAGTGGGTTCTAGCCCATGAAAGCTTATGCCCAAATAAATTTGTTAGTCTCTAAGGTGCCACAAGGACTCCTCGTTGTTTTTGTTGATACAGACTAACACGGCTACCACTCTGAAACCTGTCTAAATCTCAAAGACTCCATGAACACAGAGGTCCTGAGGAGTCCTCTCTCCCCCAGATCCCTGCAGCAGTTCTCCCTTATTTCCTATATAACTGCACTGGATTTTTTTCTTAATAGATGAGAATTAACTGTGGCCAAAAGCCAAGAGGGGAGGGCTGATCACCATCTTTTTAAAAACAAAAAAAATCAAGTCTAGTATGTAAGAAAGGTGGCATTTCACAGTGACTTGAGCCATGTTTTTCCTCCTTAAAACTAAAGGGATGAGTATACGGTGCTCCCACTAACTTAGGGTGGGTCCCTTTTCTGCCTCTCTCCCTGAGGAGCAGAGAGATCACAGACTGAGCAGTACTGAGTGTGGAATGAGTCCATAACACAAACTCACACGCTCTTCCCCAGGAACGTACCTGCCCTGAGAAATTTCCTAACGCTTAGTCCAAGTAATCTGCTAGAACAACACTAATTAACATACTAGGGAAACCAATAATCTCTCCATTTTACTGCCCATGTTAGACATGCCAGATTAGGAATGCCAATAAAATAAAAACCTGAAAGCCTTTACCATTTAACGGTGCTTGCACTGAGAGCTGTGTCTTTTGGAAGAGAATAAGCACTGCAGCAGCTGTGACTATTCTGAAGCTCTTGGCTGGCATCTCAATGAAAGATTTGTATTCTCCCAACAGGCTTTTTTTCACT